GAAGAAGGAAGGAACAAAGTGGATGTCTGGAGGCTGCGTTCGGAGGATGTCATTTTCAGTCGAAAACCTTTTTAAAACGCCATCTTTGACAAATCTCCTTGAATAAAAATGATATTCAATGATCTGTTGCAATGTTCATATACAGAAATAAAGTATCCTTGAAAGATGTAAGTTACCAAAATACAGACCTTCATAATAATTTTTGTACTTAAACTTAAAATCATTGAATAACCTAAAGTGTTTATGCTAGACCATTATTTTGAACCCATGAACATGCTCAGTGGAACTACCAACTGGGCTTTTTATTCATTTAATTTCATTTACTGAAAAAAGATTCTAATTTAGGTAATTTCCTGTTTATTTCCTTCCTGTATTCACTTCACCAGTTTGTAGCCTGGTTTTATTAGAACACCCTTGTAATGAGTGCTAAATACTAAGCATGCCTGTATCACACAAGGACTGCAGGAAGGGCAAATAGACATTCCGGCTGTACAAACACAACCATTGCTTTCATTTTAACCTTGTGGTTCAGGACAAAATTTAGAACATCCTTTGTAATGTTCTTTTACAGACTGATGCTAAACAAACATTGGATCTTAATTTAAACTAGGGTTCTCTGAGTGCAAAGGTGTGGTGTTAATGTTATCCTACTTTGCCCATATGATTAAAAATGGGTTCTCTCATATTAAAGACCCATGGGCTTATTTTGAAATAAGTAAATGCCTGAGAGAGCTTTTAAACACTCCGAGGCATTATATATTTTATATTCAAACATGACCGTGCTCTAATTGAATTTCTCAACCAATCAGAATGCAGCATAGCCAATATAGAACGTTCTCTAATTCTCCATAGATGCACGACCGTGCTCTATCCAATCATCCGGGAATCTACGTATTGTATTTGCATTGTGACGTCACACCTGGGAATGGCGAAAATAACAGCGAGCTCGAGTTTGGTGTATCTCATGTAGCTCCAATCCCCAATTCTCTGAACAATGTTTTCATTTTTTATATGTTTGAATCGGAATAAATAATGATAGGCCATTCAATATGGTGAAATTCAGCACTCGTTGGACAGAATGTCAGTACAAATGCACTCACCTTCGGTTCGTGCTTTGTACGACATTCTGTCCAACTCGTGCTGAATTTCACCATATTGAATGGCCTATCATTATTTATTCCTTAATTTCAAACTGTCATGAAAAATTGTGGCAAGTTATAATAGGTCATTAAAAAACTTTGCTTGTATAACAGTAGCTGCAAATACCAGTGCTATTACTTTGAATCTTTGCATGGGATTTGAGGGGGAGGGGCAGTATATGGGCCATGAATGATAATGGGAAAGAAGCAATCCCTTTGTCCACTTTACAGTCTGTAAAGCCAGACTGCCTAAATGTACCTAAACACTTAGCTTATTAAATGTCAAACTCTACTTGAAACTTAAAACATGTTTTTTATCAGCATGAATGTAATTTAACAACAAGAATGTTAAACAAAAACTTAGAACATGTGGTATGATATGATTCTTTGTTTTATTTTTTGGGTTAACCTAACCATACAGGGGGTGATCTAACTATAAGTGAAAAAATATTCGCAACTTTTACACAGTTAAAGTTTGTGATTTGTCTGTTTCATCAAATCAGCATACTAATTTATCACAAACTCATTATCTTGTAAAGTTGACTTCTGATTTTACTGTACTTTTTACTCATGTTTGCATTACTCCTTGTAAATTCCCTAAAATGGCCTTCGTAGTTATAGACATGACCATATGTTTCAACAATTGATACCATGGTGTTACATTTCTAAAAGGCATAACTGTGGCAAGAACACTGCATGAAACTGATAAAGATTTAATGAAAAACAAAATCTCAAAAATCTGTCACTATGGAATTTATCTGTTCCAATTTTTTGAACAAAATGCTCGTTGGAATCGGCTTCTCTCCCACATTCTTCTCTTTGTGTAGTCTAACTTTAATCTAGAGCTGGCATCGAATTGGATTTTAATGTCGACATGTCGGAGCTCTCGATCGACGACGATATCGACATAGTCGGGTCCAATGATATTCGAAAAATGAAAAAAAATTTGAAGAAAATCCGTCTGAATTTTAGATTTTCTAGGCTTGTAATTAGCAATACGATGCACAATAGTCATCCTCAGTTGTATGTTTTATATTTACCTTACAGGTAAACCATGTTCAAGTATCAGACTTTGACGAAAAAGCAATAAATAGACATAAAACTACGATTTCCGTTGTTATTTCCGGGCAGCCATTGAAAATAAATCTCGAGGGTAAATCTCGAGTGGCCCCGAGACCTAATTAGAGAGCAGGAAGTCGATTAAAACAAAAAAGAAAATTTGAAAATGTAGGCGGTAAAACTTCACTAAAATACACCATACAGCAGGTAGTAACAAAGATTTTAATTCATAGGGAAATAGCTTATTATGTTGTGAGTTCCGACCATAGATCCCGGCCAGATTTTTTTGTAGTAAGATCAGTACTTAGCTCAATAAATATTCCTCAAGATGAGACACCTCAGAAAATTTCAAATTTTAAAATGACGATTATGGAGCCATTTCTGAAAAATATGAGACAAATCATACCTCATTCGAAGCATCTTGTTATTCTTTAACTTTTTTATCACCAATGACCGTTATTCAAGCAAGTCTGCGTTGATAAGAGGCCAAAACAGTGATATTTTATCGCCGGACTCTTGTCTGTCCAAATCTGAATGGTGCTCCCGTGGTTCCAGAAATGTGACGTCATCAGTACAATGATATTTGGACACACAAGAGTCCGGATCTCGTGAAAAATATTCGCCGTATTAAAAGTCAGATAACTGCATCCATAGGTTATTTACTCGAACCAAACAAGTAGAAATAGAAAGATGAAGATCTCAGCTATAAAATGAGTGCAAAATCTGTCATGGGGAAGCAGGTACCATTTTGTATAAGAAACATTTTTAAAAGGTGGTCATATTTTTTTGAAATTTTCCAATTTAGTGTCGTATCTTGTGAATTATTCTTTGAGCCTATGAGATCCTACTACAAATTAATCTGGCCAATATCTGTGGTTCCGACTGTCGATCAAGAGGCGTTGTGTCGACATGGGTGTCGCAGAGAGCATTTGACCGACAATCGACCATTCCGACATTCGATGCCAGCTCTACTTTAATCTGAAGATATAAGCTGCATTAAGGCAAATGCAAAAGGGCTCAAGACCAAGGCAGATGGGCTTAAGAGATATCATAGTTCTGACTCAAATAAGGGGGTGGAGTATTTATTGGGGATTTGTCTAGACAATGTATGAGAAAGAAGAACGTCATATGCTGAGTCTATAGCTTTATATGGAGATTCATAACTACTTTATACTTGCAAAGCAATCATAAAAACCTAAAATGATATTGGAAAATATTCTATAGCTCCAACTATATGGGATTAGTAGCATAAAAGGTCATGTACATTCTTAGATAAGTATTGAAATATATATGAATTGGACTTAGTATGATTCCTGACCTTCAAATATATAATAAGAATAGCTTTTTAAATTCTGTTCAGTATATATGGCGTTGTATGATCTTTTTAGGTTTGATTCTGCCAAATACCTCAATCACGATTTTGGCTTTGAAATGATGACCTGAAAAGGCTTTTGACATAATTTGCGTCATGAAATACAGAATTTTGGTATTTATGCACATGAATTAGTACTGAGTAAGGAATAGTTGATGATTATGTATAAAATCCTGGCAATAAACCAGGTGACTGATTATCTCATGTGTTAAACTTCATATTAAAGGCTCCAAAATGGTTTTCCAGATAGACTAAAAGCATTTTTAATTTTAAACCCTTTACCATATAAAATGTGATATAAGACTTTGTAATTAATGAATAAACAAAGACAGAATTTAGTCAGTCGATTTTTTTCAATTATTTTACTCCTGCGTTCTACATGGATTTTATTTTTGACATGAATATCCTCTATTCTGGGTATTCAGTACAATTTACATTTACATTCAAGTCTACAAACTCTAAGAAAGATGTGATATTATTACTAACATCAAGGCTCAGGATTAATATTGAAGAGGTTAAAAATAATCCATCGTTTTATTTGATATGGCTAGATCAACAGATTATCTTTGATCTAAAAAGCGTAGACGAAGCTCTCTTTTAAGAAGCAAAATGAAACTACATTTCTTGAAAAGCGAAGGACTTGAAAATTATCATAGATATTCGAAGCAAGACATTGTTGGGTCATTCTGATATTCAGAACATTATCTTGTGTCGTGCTCTCATTAATCACAATTTGGCTGTGAACATATTACATGCCTAATGTAACACAGCACAGTTGAGGAATGATAATATTAAGTCATTGGCTATTTTCTTAACAAACTCAGGTCATATTCTGTTTCTATGATTCCTTATTAGTTAGTCACACTGCTCTCTGACTATAGATGATTTTTATCACCCTTTTTCAAAGTGCTATATTGTCAACGCCTGAGGGGCGTGAGTACTTGCTTGGATCTGTATGTCTGTCTGTCTGGGTGGTAGGGACCACATGTAGCTTGTCATCAGAACTCCAGGAAAACTACTCATCTATTCAACTTGAAATTTTTACAGATGCCAAAACAGACTTAAAGGCTGAAAATGTATTATTGTCTGACTTAGTCAGATTAGATATAAGATTGATCAAAGAATTGTGTCTAATCACGTTGTTAGGGTAAATGTATTGTATGCATGTATTGTAGATGAATTCAAGCCTATTGAAAGGTAGTACATTGCTGGAATAACCTTTGTGTTGTTGGGTTCAAATCAGGTAACACATGATGTACGGCTGAAACCCAAATCAAGGTTAAAACACCTCTTGGCAGATGCTGGTACATGTGAACTAAAGCGAGATTATTTTTGATGAAATGCTTGTCAATATTTGTGCAGTTTTTTCACAACAACAAATGTTGCTGAAATGTTTTTCATGTTTGTAATTTTGTGTATAACAGTTTTCACCTCATAAAGCATCCACCTGTTAATGTATTTGTAGTAACTTGGCAGTTGGTTATAACTTGCATAAATGTTAATTTAGACCTGCTGAAAATATGAGACCAGACTAAATATCTACTATTTATGGCTGGTATTTCGAAATGTACTCAGTTTGCAGCTTGTACATTACATGGATATAACCAGACTTGTGGCAGGAGAGGGAACAGTGTTCAGAAGTTGGCATTTGGTGGTGGTGGTGGGCATCTGTACCAAATGGCAGGTGGTGATATTTTGATGTTAATGCCTTGCCTTCAAACTTGTTATATTGAAAACACCTTCTTTATGCAAAGGTTCTTCATTGTCAGACAAAGAATACTTTATTTTGACCCCATTGATTTTGGAAAATATTGCATTTCCGAGGTGTGTACCTGTCTTGAAACAATATACTGGAAGGTGTATGTGTTTTATTTCCAAACTACAATGCAATAATGTACATGTATGTATGTAATAATGTGTAACAATGTATAATGTTATATCTTAGACTCGGATTCTGATTACAATAGTGTGTTATGTCTGTCCATTAATTTATTTAATTTGACATTTGACATTCCATACTTGAACAACTTAATCATATTTGTTGTATACATGATTTGTTTATATCTAAAGTAAACTTGAAACCAACCCACGGCATGTTTACAAAAGTTCAAGTAACTATGTTGAAAAGGGGTACATGTCAACCCGTCCTGTGTTAAATTGAAATGACTGGAAGTATATTCATATTAGTACATGCGACACTGCTGAGTGTGGGCCGGCTCATTCAACAAAAATGATTACTCACGAGAGGTGGATTTTTATTTCCAAGGCAGGAAATGAAGAAGATACTGGAAGTGTTCTAATCTGATAGAGACTGGAAGAAACTGGGTTAATACACGAAGCTATAGGCTCTCCAAGTATTATAAGAGTACATACTTTTGAATTCTTGGATTGGTACAGGATATTGAAACTTTCAGGACATTGACTTTTGAAATGGAAAATCGTAAGTTATATACTTCGAAACAATGTTTGTTTGTTTGGTTTATCAGAAAAAAATGAAATGTGTTTGAAAAATTTACCTTGGTTAAAAAGCTCAATTAATTCTTTTCATAATTTTAACAATGTTCTGGTTTGAATGAACTGTAAAATACAAGAAAGTAAATATAATATATTGTTATTTTCTTTAAACCCTATAACTGATCGTTACAAACTTGTTGTTAAGTGATATTGATTTCTGTTTCGGCCAATGACACTTCCTAATAATTCTATTTTTTGACGAGACCTAACGGCAAGAATTTTTAGGGAAGTGAACAAATGATAAAAAAATATTAGCTAGGGTAGATCTATGTGAGTATTTTAATGATTACGTTGTACAGTTACCAATAGTTAAAGTAGGTTCCTTTCAAAATTCTATGTGGATGTTTAGTATTGTTTACATGGTATGGTAGCCTATGTAGTTCAAAATCAAAATATTTTGTTAATATTATGTTGAAATGATCTTTCTCCTGAGGTAAGCCATTGACATATTTATTGATGATTTCATTTTATGTACAATGTACTAGCATTGCCATTTTCATATTTTGTTTTGATATTTGATATCTATTTATCATAAAATGAGGAATATAATAGCACATATCTAATATGAGAAAAAAATGATTAATTTTTAAAAATAGAATTGCATGACGTAAACAGTACATTGACATATTACTACTGGTATTATTACACACATTATGTAAACTGGTAGGAAAATTAGTAGCACCTGTGTTAGACATACCAGCATGTTACTATGATATTATCCTAGATATGATGTGATTTGACATTCTATTTGACATACAAGTGCTTTTGCACTAGGAAACACACAATAAATTACTTACCAGGGGTGTCATATTTAAAAAAAAGTGTGCATTTTTCCAGAAATTATAGGTGGCACTGCAATTAGGAGTGGGTGGTAATTTTTTCGAAGACATTATTTGGTACAATCTGGGCAGTTTTAAAGACTATAAATAGTTCCTTTCTGATTTAAAACAGCATTTTAGTATTTTTATGTCTCTGACATCATCAGTTTCAAAAGGGATGCTTTCGCACCCAACTCAACCCCCTTTCTGACACCCATGCTATCCAAGTCAGATTTGAGACTGAATTATGAGTCAATATATTTCATTTAGTGTTGTTTGTATATATAGTAAAACCTGTAAACAGTGAACACATATGGATCCATAAAAATGTGTTCACTGTCGGGTGTTCATTACAGAGAGAGTAATTTATACAGTAGACAGTGGATTATGTGCAGGGAAAGGATGTCTACTAGAGCGTGTCTACTAGAAGTGTTCACTAAGACAGGTTTTACTGTATTGTAACAATTGTGCTAGTTATTTGTATAATGCATTGACATGTTGAGAAGAAAAATAAGAAAAGCATGTTATTTTAGGCCTGGTCCCTATCTTTATCCTAATATTGAAAGTACAGCTGTACTAAAGAGTATTCATACAGTCATGCAATATTGTTTCAAATATCATGCTGGTGATTTATTTAATCTAGCAATATATTTAGTTTATCATGAACTAACAACAAATTAATACACTTAAAGAGTTGGAATCGGACACATACTTCGTATTTGGATAACCATTAACACGATTCACACCTCCCATTGTTAAATGTGAAATCCCCCTGATATGAAAGGGGCCTCTATAATAGATAAATGTTATTCTGCAAATGTTGATACAAATGTGTTGCAATTTCAGATGTGATACCAGTTGATTTATAACATGCGGGAGAAACATATCAAAGATGATTGGCGCCAGTAGCTTATTATATGCAGAAACAATGGGATGCAGAACAGTCGTAAATTCACATTTAGAATATGTCAAAGGTGAGTATAGATAGTAACGTAGGAATTATCTTGCAGATGTTGTCAGTTTATGGTTTTGTTAGTCTTTCTCAATGGGTTGCTAACATTTTTTTATATCACCACCACAAGTATCCAACTTTTTTGCGGACGGTGTTCAGTAGTTGGTGTTTGACGGTCAGTGTTCGGCATCTGAAACAAATGGCAGGTGGTGACATTTTGCATGTTAATGCCCTGTTTACATATTCATAGAGAAAATCATGTAAAAATTATTAACATAGCTATATTTCATGATTCTCCAAGTAACAAATGAGTTGATAAGTTCAAAATTTCAGAAATTCACGAGTTGGTAAAATTACACATCCGTTGAAATTTCCTGTGGAGTTTAATCTACAGGGCTACTGCATGCTTGATCAGTTTAGAATTGATGTCAGATTTGAAAATATTTGGCGAGAGTTTCTTTGACATTGAAACAATAGCAACTGTGAAGTTCATCATGAACTGCTCAGCTGTCTTAGTCATCAATCAATTTTAGTTAATTTGAACCAAATAAAGATAAACCAGGCATTGCTTGTTCTAAATAAAGGGGGAAGGAGAAGGAACTAATCTTCCCAAGTTCCAGGCACCCATCAAATATTAATCATTCTTTATAATTATAGCCAAGGGAGGACTTATGATGTTCCCATGATGCAAAATGAAAAAGTTTTGTTGTTATATTATTAATATAATTTTCGGAGTGGGAGAAGGGGGGGGGGGGGGCTGTAGACTGATGCGGCTATATGGCTAAGAGAGGGAGGGTGTTATGTTTATTAAATAAAATCAAATTGTTCACTGTGGCATTCTGGGAAGAAGTTTTCTTTGATTATGCATGCCCTTAAGTTAAGTTGTATCTATAACTATTGACATTGATTAGGAAAGCTAAACCTTGATCCCATCCTGCATCTTGATAATGCCATATAGATTATGTTGTATGTATTCATTGTATTAATTTGATTTTGTTATCTATTTGGCCCTGACAGAGTTGGAGAATTATTCAATTCAAGGTCAAGAGAAAATGTCCAAATACTACAAAGATTTACATCCACAAAAGTAATTACGTAACACATCTATTGGTTTGTTAGCAAGTATTGATTTTTAAAAGGGAAGATGCTTCTCATTTGATCATATCAATAAATAATCAATTTCAAATTTAAAGGGTTAATCTGAAATGGAATTAAGTTGTTATTTTGGATATTATTGAAATTTTGATTTGGTCCCTAAGCCCCCTAAAGATGTAAAAGTTAACTTCAAAGATTACATGGTTAAATATACACATGTACGAGGTATAGCTGAAGAATTGTGTTCAGGACTGATGACTCAAGATTATGTTCAGGACTGGTGACTAGAGAATTATGTTCAGGACTGATGACTAGACGTTCAAGAATTCACAACAGTTATTTCAACCTGAATGAATAAGCTGAATCGATACTGACTGACATACTGTATAATCAGTATACTCTTCCAGTCATGTGACATGTAAATCAAGATGACTGGTTGATAGGTTGGTGAAAATGTAGGAAGGAAAAACTCTGAGCAAAGGAACTGATAACTTATGCGATTTGAGCATGTGTATATTCTGTTTACTAATAATAGAGCTTCACATCATCAATGTTGGCATTCTTCGTGTGATAAATCATAAAGTACATGAGCACCTAAATTCCTGTAGGTCGATTGGTTTAAATGTTCAAAATAATGCTTTGGTTTATTGTCACAAAATGGTAGTTCAAATGAGATTTAAATGCCATTTGGATACCATGTTGTAAAAAGGTCTAATGTTTTTATTTTTAGATATTAACTAATCTATAAACGAAAATGATAATTTAATTTGCTGAGATAAGAACGACATTTTCTATTTTTGACTTGTTTGATTTTTTAGTTATCATTTGAATGACTTCATGGTACTATGAAGTGAAATAATAAACCTGATAAATATTTTCTCATATTCAAAATGAAACAACTGTCCTAGGTCTATTTTATACATTGCAATTTGTTTATCATCAGGGTACTTTAGATCATCATGGAACTTTAGATCTCTTCTCTTCTGTAATTTCCACAGACCTTACATGAGGTTTGAACAAAGTGTATATAGGCTGAAACAAAAGAACCAATATTAAAGATGTTTGCCAATGTGGTTGGTGATGTCACCAGTGTGGGTGTCTTGTTTATGAGAGGTTCTTTGAAAATCAAACCAGATCTTTTCACCTAATTTAGTTACCAGAATCAGTTCCCACCTGCTACTCTCTTAAATGATAGGGCTGCTTTATTAACCTATTTCCAGTTCTTTAACAAGGATACAGATCATAAAATACATGCTATAACTCAAAGGGTGCACTGATTATGTTTGTGGTTACTGACCAGTTTGAGTATTCAGCTTCAACGTGGGCAGATGAAGGTCGTTGTTGAGGTCTATTCAAGATGATACATGGACTGCATGGATTAATAAATAATACCATCTTGCTTCGGGGAGATATTAAGATGTGGGCCATTCAATACTGAGGGAACAAACCTCAAAATATACCATTTCAAGCCTCCTAGATGTTGAATAATGCGGTCAGTTCCTTCCATCCGAACAACATTCTCACAGTGAGAATATTTTTATTTTATTATTATTTTTTTTGTTTTTTATCCTAAAATTATAAATTTAGGATAAAAAACCAAAAAAAACCAAAAAAAACCAGTGAGAATATCTGTTCTTTAGTCGCCATCCTCCGATCACAGGGCTTCAAAATCCAGAATATATTCTTTCTTTTTACCCCCTTGCGATAAGCAGTTAGCATTTCCCCGATTAAGAACTCGCAATCTGATTGGCTGTCGCAACACTGCGACAGAAATCATGTATAAGTCATTGCACATAATTAGATCACGTGATTCAGTTTAATCGGGCGCTTCCAAATTGGTTATAGCTTGGGGAAGAAGGAGGTACGGATTCTGGATACCTGCTTAGGAGGATGTTTAGTCGCTAACCACCAATTTCTCATTCCTGAACTTATTTCTCCACTCACGTATCAAGTTTCCACATGCGAACCACACAGTTGTTAAATACAATTTCTATTATCTTGATCTCTGAATCAATTGAAAAATAATACAAAATGCACGTGGAAAGATTTTACCATGTTTCATTTTCCCTGTTGTATTTATTAATCAATGTTGTCTTTTTTCAATACACATGCACTCAGTTGGCATAAACTGTTGAGTACTCATGCACTTGCGCTATGACGAGTCATTTGCGTTTACTAGTGCAGACAAGCGTTGTAATTATTGGATTTTAATATTGATCAGCTGTTCATGCGATATTTCATTTTTGGTATAATAATTGATTAATGTGGGTATAGACTCCAAACTTGGAAAAAACTGGTTCAAGTATCATCTTGAGGTTGTAACGAATCTAGATCACTGTTATCTCAACCATGGATAAACATATTTATAGTCAACAAAAACAAATTTCAAAAATTATCTAAAAACATTGTAAAGGGAAAAATCTCAATTGATTCTGTCTGAGCTTGTTGTTTGAGACCATATGTCGCACGATTAATAATCTATGATCGTCAGAATATGTTGATGAATTTAAAACATTTGTTCATATATGTATGAATCATAAATGCGTGGTGAACTCATGTTAAATACAGTACAAACACATCATCCTTTATTTAAATCAGTATTTGAGACACTAAGAGTGCTAGAGAAATCAAAAGGTAAGTCTACTTTTTGAAAGTCTGTTTTTACAGAAAATGTGAATAAAAATTAATTGTACATTTTTTATGAAATTATTTTAAAGTATGTCCTTAAAATGGTGTATGTCATTAACATTGAATTGACGAGATGTCATTAGAAATAATCTTGATTTTGAATTTCATGGTAAAATCTTTAAAATTCAGTCAAGTGATACATATATGAAGCTATGTACTAAAATTGGGTTTTGTTAATAACTTTTTTGAAAATATCTCATAAAATCATGAAACTCGGAATATTTGCTATTAAAACAGCTAATAATTCTGGTTAAAGTGTATAAATTATTAGTTAAATTGTATAATTTAAACCTGCACATCTCTCCAAAACGCAATATGTTGACATATATTGTTTTTACATTTTTAAGCTCTAATATAAAGTTTATGTAAATAAAAATTGTTTTTTCTGCGTTATATCAAAGAACAATCATTTCGTTAAAAAAACAAAAAGGGGAATGCGGGATTCAAACCCGGCCCTCCCGCATGCTAAGCGAGAATTGTACCGCTAGACTACGGTGTTATTATGAAAGGTGGAAGTAATTAAACGCTACTTATTTTGAATGCTATGATTCGGAAGTGACGTCATGTTCTTCATTTAGAAACCTTTTCAAAATCATATCGTCGGCGCCGATCGAAGCAATTCAATGAATAATCTTTGAAATGACACATTTATCGTAAGTATTTCTACACAAGATTTGCCCCATTTGTTCATCATTCTATAATCTTTCATTAAGCTCAAAATGATAAAGTTCACCCCCGAAACAACCCAAGATTGCGTTTTGGAGCGATGTGCAGGTTTAAGTTAAATTGTATAATTATCAAACTGGTAAAAATGGAAAATGGTTTAGAAGATGATAATGAAGAAGATGTATATATTGAGAGGTGTTCAGATTAGAGAGGTGTTCTGCCACAAATGTTTTACTGAACTGACATCTGGGTAACAGAGTCTGAGATCTTATGAAATAAAACATGAATTAAGGGCAGAAGTTCATGCTATCAATTTTATTTAATTTTTTTTCTAGGATAATGAAACAAAAAATGAAAAACCAGACCAACCAATGCCAATGCTCTATAGTTCACTGCGGGGCAGTGTTTATTGGTAGTTTATGATTATTTTGTTTTCAAATTGTTGATGCATTAAACTATTTATGGAGTCTAATTAATCAACTAAAGGTTAACAACACCTGAAGAATATTTAATAACAGCTATATACGTATAAAATATAGCTTAAACGTAAACATAGCAAAGGTGTGATCAAGAAAAATGATACATAACATAATCCATTACACAAATATAATCAAAGATCAATGACTTGACTTCAATCAGTAATCACTGAGTTTGTTTTTAAACTGCTTTCTTTATTTTCCTTTGAAATAAATGCCAATGCTCCAAGTAGGAATAGAAAATTGATTGTGATATAAAATACTATAATAATACCTGCCGATGTGATTTGTCTTATCTTAAATAACAGTTTAATACTCTATAATTTACTTCCGTTTTCTTTTGATATTAGACAATCTAGCTTTTTAATAGATATTCTTTGTGCGTATTGCGTAGGATGTAATCTTAAACTCAATCGAACTCTACTTGGACTGACTTGTATGCCTACTGTGTCATGGCATGTTATTTCATAACTACCAATGGTAATCAGATTTTGCGCACCTGTTTTTAATGTTAATGAAGTATGTACTAAAGAGCCTTAATACCAATGACAAAGAGAGAGCATTCAGTTAAAAAGTTGGTAATTAATAAATGGAATTTAACAACTAAAGGTAGGTTAAAATGTTTAAATGAGTCACCATAAGGTGGAATTTTATATACATATTTTTATTACTTGGCAATATTTATTTTTTATTTCAGAAAAATAATTCAAAAACACTTGGCAGTTGCAAATAAAGGCATTCAGGTTAACACAGGCCACACAGGTTAGCATGATTCTTTGGCAGAATATTTTGCAATGGTTGGCTAAATGTATTTTACATACTATAGATTTAGGTGAAAATGTGAAAGTCGATTTGAGATAGGACCAGAAGCTTAATAATGTTGTTTTGCAACAAGACCTTGCTCTTTTATTTTTTGTCTATCTCAATGGAGAGGGAAGGGGGGGGGGTATCAGGGGCATCGGATCATATTTGAAAGGGGGGGTGCGTTTTCCAGAAAATATAGGTGGCGCAGGAAATACGCATCTTGGGGAGTCCGGGAAATTTTTTTTGAAGACAATATTTGGTGCAATCTGATCATTTTCAAGGACTATAAATATATGAGCCCATGGATCTACAAGGCTTCGAAGCAAGACTGACCCAGGCAGAATATGTGATTTGCTTTAGGGCATCATATTGATTCACAAATTTGAGGGTATCAAATATGTAATGCTGTTAGAGAGGGCTTGTATCATCATAGAGTCACATGGCCAAGGCATTAGATGAAAAAAGCTCAAGGTCGTTAAGTAATCTTGTTAGCATCATTTTAATCATAGAGATAAATGTACTTATAATAATAGTACAATAACGTCATTTCTAAGGGCAATATAGTGAAATATTGGACCGAGGGCCTGGCCCAAGGTCCAATATTTCACTATATTGCTCGCAGAAATGACGTTATTAGTATTATTACCACCGTTAACAACCAGGACTGAAACAGCAAGAAAATCTTACGCATTGAACGATATCTAATTTCCCGGGGAAAATTGCCGGTCCAGAATATATTCTAGACCGGTCCATATGGACCACCACTATGACGTCACACATTTCTCAGGTCGATATAGTAAAATGAATGCCTTCTAAACTAGCACTAAAACTAGAACTAGCCCGGCAAGGTGGTAATAATGGTGAATAAAAGAGGGCTTGAATATTTATTCCTGTCACTTTATCCAGGGACCTTGCCGATAAAGTGGGAGTTTTCTCTGTCATTGGCATTTGTTTTATAATTAAACATTCTTCAAATATAGAAAGATCTGGGAACTAATCGTATCTTCTTATTTTCGAGGATGGAAGTAAGAGTTGCTTAAAGGGTATTACCAAGACATCATATATTGATAAATTATATTTAATGTTTTCTAATCAACTACTGTAAATATAATATTTGAATTAATGAGTTTCTTGTTCAAATTCAAATTCCAGATACATTTCTCATTTCCCAAATAACTCTTGGCTCATTCAGATAAATGCCTGGTGAGTAGACCTTTAGTTTCTTTCATAGTAAAGGCAAATAACTTTAATTTGGAGTAAATAACAAATTATGAGAAACAACTCAACATTATGGCATCTGACTTGAATGAAGCATTGGCTTGGCTACAAACTCATAAACGTATGGTCAACTCTTAGTCCATGTATATACAGTATTAAATTCCATTATTCTGGACTTCCTAAAACAGTTGGTGAGTTACAAAATGCTGATTGTACTCGTACTATCCTTTGAACACAGGGCTACAGATGTTCAGAAAAATGATAATTCGCATCTTGGAGCCCTGCAGTGAGAGGATGACTAAATGCGGAGTTGAACAAATGCAAAGGGTAAAAGATGTCTTGAACATTCAATAATGCAATCTTTGACAACTCTACTCTATTTCAACACGTCCAGACACTCATCAGAGACACTCAGAGCTTTATTTGCATGACATCTTGAAATTTCGGATGTAGACCCATAGGGGCATAATAGTGTAAAAACTGTAAACAGTAGGCTAAATAAAATTATTTAACAAGATAATCAAGTTGCGTCATATCTCGAATCACAATCACATCATTTGACGAACTGGCAGTTTCCTTGATGATATGCCATATAAGCTAATAAAGGCGGGACTTGAAGGTCACATGAATGGTCCTAGCCCGGTCTATAGAACGAAGGGTACCGCCCACCTCGTGGGGACCTTCGTAAAAAAGAATGATGCAAGAGCCTTTAATAATAATAACTAATCTTCTTATCTCCATCTTTTACAATCTTGTCATGAATCAAGCTGAGAGTAATTAAAAACAAGGTATGGAGCCTCCAGAAATGATAAAATTCATGGGCATCAGTCGCTATTCCAGGACAGAGTGTGCCTAGATATTACATGTAATTTCTTGTCACATGAAAACAGTCATTTCATCATATAATACTGAATTCAAATGATATTATTATATTTTTTATTTGAAGCTTCAAAATGCAAAATGTTTGCCAGAATGATTTATACCTTCTGCAATACTTTGCATCTTAATAAGAGAGGTATAATCTACAGAGGTCGTTTTTAAACATTTCAGAGGGTTTCATATATAGAGGGCTTCATCTTCAGAGGGCTTCATATACAGAGGGTTTCATTTCTTGAGGGCTTCAACTTCAGAAGGCAGAATTTTACTGCTTGTATATGAATGAAGTTTAAGTTATGAACTTTTTCAAAATATTTCTTTTTCATAAAGTATTCATTTTCATCAAATATGAGATCACTGGGCATGTTGCATGATGTCATTTCCTAATGGTTAAGGTTGCATTGCTGAGAATTTCATGATGTCACCTTTCAATGGTTGTATTGCTGAGAATTTCATGATGTCACCTTTCAATGGTTGTATTGCTGAGAATTTAATGATGTCACCTTTCAATGGTTGTATTGCTGAGAATTTCATGATGTCACCTTTCAATGGTTGTATTGCTGAGAATTTCATGATGTCCCCTTTCAATTGTTGCATTGCTGAACTTATGCGACCAAAATGACAAATTGAAGTATTGATAGAAATGATTTATAACTGCCTATCTATCTAAGTGTCAATTTGACCTGTCCAAAATATTTCACATCTGTGATGATTATTTCGAATTCTTAAAGCTTCAAAACATTATCAAGGTTCACTTTGTTTTCTTGATTTTGAAATATGCCCCTGTTTGAGTTTTCTTTCTTTATTACTTGCTTTCATGCATATATCTTCCTTTCTAATGGTATATATCATTTTTTAAAATCATGGCTGCTGTGAGTGTGTTGCAAGGGAAGGTAACAAAGGCCTTTTTGCAACAATAAAAAAGATGAACTTCAAGTTCAATAGCCGATAACTAAAGTGTTGCATACTTTGTCATTGTAACAAATACATAAAAAGCAATGGTTTCTTTATACCACATACCAGTACCAGTCTTCTCATCAAAATAATAACAAGTGAAAAAAATTCATTTAATGTTTATTGTAAGGGTAAACAACTTGACTAGATACATAGAGATGTCAACTTGTTTAACATCTAAGAATAGCGCCTAGGCTGCCTACATAGCTAGCTATCAGTCAGTCAGTGCGAGACATGCGGACAAGAGGTAAAAGAGGATGTCTTGTAATTATCACATTTCAGCAATATTGCGGAGGAAGAAACATCGATTTTATGACTCTTCAAACGGATGACGAATTCCTGAGGCAATCTGAGAGTTTTATTTGTAGCATTCTACAGGAGTGATGTAAAGAGGAATTTAATTATATTTATTACGTTTGTTTATTTTTAGATTTTACTTTTGTTTTGACTCCAATATTAGTCATAGCTCTTGATTTGTCTTCTTATCAGTTCCGAATTGTTGACAAGTTGATATTTATTGTGGATTAAATATAAAGGAACAAGCACTTCACATATAACATCCTTCTTTTACCAGTTTTAGGAAGTAGATAAGAGGTATCTTTATGTTACGTTTGTTTTATATTAATCTTCTTTTAGCATTAAGGTAGTCCTTATTAGATCATTTTGAACCAGGGTGACATCAGTATACAAGACTACATGTAAGATATACATTATACTTTGCCTACCTTAATTTAGGCCTCATATTACATGTATTAACTTTTCAATCAGTTAACTGGCATATTTTCTTGTACTTTCAGGTATTTGGCAGGCTGAATGATGACTAGACTAGAGCATCTACAGTTATCTCTCTGAACAAACTAGATCTCATACGAAATACTCAACACACATACATTAAGCACCAGTTAATATCTTGAGAATCATCAGATTTACACCTGTCAGCATTACGGATATTACAGGCATCGTAACAATGAGAGACGAATGATATTATAAGTTTATTGGCGGAAGTTTCGATAAATCATTACGATGGGAGGAAATAGTAGTTGTCCCCTCCCTCAGTACAGTTGCTGTATCCCGCACAAAAATCCAAATTTTTGTCGGGAAAATCGGCTAAGTACACCAAAGATTAAAAACCACAAGCGTAATATGAGCGCAACTTTTAATTTGACAGCATTCGAGGCAAATGATACATTAGATCCAGAGTTGATGAATATTAACACGGCTTCTGAAGAACAGCTAATGACCTTGCCTGGAATAAACCGCAGTACAGCGCACAATATTATAGACTATAGACGTCAGATCGGGGGTTTCAAGAAAGTTGAAGATCTGGCCTTGGTCTCGGGAGTCGGCGCAACAAAGTTGACGATGATACGTTTTGAGATTTGTGTCGGGAATAAGAAGACGTCAAGAGGAAGTACCCCTCGAGACAGCAACCCTGATCTTACCATAGTCGAGGAGAGCAGACCTGCCTCCAGGATTCGATCAGCAATGTTTAATAAGATTAATGTAAATACCTCAAATGTCTTCCAGTTGATGAAGGTCAAAGGAATAGGTCAAAATATTGCAGAGAATATCGTAGACTATAGAGAAAGGAAGGGTCAATTTCGTAGTATTGATGAACTCGTAAAAGTAAAGGGCATTGGCCACGCCTTGTTAAGTGCAATTCGAACTCAAGTGTGTATTAGCCATCAAAATACCACTCCTTCACATGGTAACCATAGTAACGGTATTCTACCAAATTCTAGTCATAGCATCAGTAACACTCTCAACAGACCACGCACAAATGATACATCAAAATCAAGCAATGATGATATTGCCAATAGAGATGCTACTGAAAGACTCACAGCCTCAGAACAGGATATTATAACCCTATTTAGGCCAGTCTATGAGACCATACCCAAACGAATGAACAAAAATAGTAGTTCAGTTAAATATAAACGCAATAATAAAACAGTTATCCGACTAGCCACGTGGAACATAGAGAGATGCGGTCTTGATAAGATAACAAACCCAGGGGTGCTTGAAACCATATGTCTAACCATACTGGAGAATGGGTATGTCATTTCTATATGTACCTTGGTTCATTGTGGTATGTTCTACAAACTCTTGGATTTCAGTTTCAAGACATATTCTCATGATTTTTATGGACGGTGTTCACTCTGTTCAGCAGTTTGTGTTTGTCTGTTGGTGTTTGGCATCTGTAACAAATGGCAGGTGGAGACATTTTGCATGTTGATGCCTTGTAATGAATGACATTGTTAAAGCCTCCATTTTATGAGACCTACACTATTTGTCAGCATCTATAACAAATTGAAAATGTTACAGTTAATTTCAACCAGGTGGTGTCATGTGTCTGTGAATGCCTTCTCTACTTTGTTCCTTGCATTTTACTTTTTTTAAGTAACCATCAAAAGTGGTGACATATTTTTAAACACGTTCTTCTGATGGGTTATTAAATCACAAAAAGTTTTCTTCTGGACACAACCTTTGTTATTTGAAATCATAGAATTCTGTGATTTCAAATGATAAATGTTTTGTTTTTTGGTGACATATTGTTATAGTCTTCAGCTTTTTGGTGGATGGTGTTCAGTGTCTGTAACAAATGACAGGTGGTGACACTTGCATGTTAATGTCTTGTTATTGAATCCTAAGATGATATTGTCAGAGCTACATTGTGAAAACAATGAAAATGCAGACAATCATTGCGGCTAATGATTCTGAAGTTAAGAAGCCCAGTTTGACATTTTACAGAATTATGTCAAGGTTTCTTGTTTCATGGTAGGCGGATAAGATTAAGTCATGTTATATCCATTACATGTGGTTGAAAACAAATTCCTTATTTCTAGTTAGCGTTTTTGTGCAAATTGATTTAATGCCATGGAGAAGTACTTCTCGTAATAGATTTGCCATTTGTTAATTAAAATTCTTTCTCCATTATTAGATATTATGCATATAGTCTCTTCAAATTGGAAAAATAACATGGAATATTTTTCTTATTGATTTTTGTTTCTTATATTTATTGATTTTTGTTTCTTATATTTTTCAGATTATCTCTGATTGCATTTCAAGAACTTGCTCATAGAGAGATTCTGGAAAGGGTAAGTTGTACAATGCACAATTCTTGATCCCATCCTTGTCTCCCCTACTACAGGGGTTTCGTTAGTGTTCCTGACAGCCTGCACAATAATAATTTTAACATGGACATAGCAGATGATTTTTGTAAAACAACCAGAGAAAATCATCAATTACTTGCTACTAATGAAACCCCTGGAGTTGCCTATTGTCTATTATTTTAAATTGTGTAGTCTTAACTTTCAAATTCTCAATATTACCTGGTTTTGTAAGAATGACCATTATAAGAACTTTGCAAGGAGTTTGCAAAGATTCTGCATGTTTGGTGATGAAAAACCATTTGGACTTTGATGAGAAACATGATTCATTTGTCCAAGGTTCTTAAAGTCATTGCATTAGATAAAAGTATAGGTCTATTGACATTGCATTTTGATATATTTTATGATCTAACAAAATTGTTAAATGATTTGCAAAAGTTACTCAGATCCTCCAAAGCTTGTTCTATTTATGTAAAGTGATCTAATTGTTGGAACTTGAACTGCTCACATGAACTGATGTCATATGCTGAGGTCTAAAGGTTGTCTTATGTGCAAACACTTACAGGGATAAAGGTCCTCTCTTGCATGAACAGACTCTAAAGGTCCTCCAGGCCCGTAGCCAGGATTTGCCAAGGGGGGGGGGTTCACTTTTAGAAAAATTTCAGGGGGGTTCACTTGTGACAATTTTGGTCCAAAAATGGCCAAAATCAGTTAAAAAGTGCTCAGAATGGTGAAAAACTGCATGGTTTTGAAAGATTTTTTGGGCCAGGGGGGTTGCTCGATCCCATCGAACCCCCCCCCCCTGGCTACGGGCCTGTCCTCTTACTATTAGCTCATCTTATGATCAGTCTAAAGGTCCTCTTGTGCTTAAATCTGTCTGGTCCACAAGAAAGTTCTGATCACGATGACACGCTGACTTTGTTTATTATGTTCAAGGAGTGTACTGTTTCAAAGAACATTCCAATTAACTAGTACTTACACTGAAATCACATCACTCAAATACCATAGCTCCTGAGAAACTTTATTATTGACATAATTAAATTGAAGGTATTTCCTTGAACTGTACATTGAATCCGAATTCCCAAGTGGTTCCATTTCAGATCATTTTACAATCTTTTTGCTAATATGATTCCAATGATCTCAAATGTAATGTTCATGGCCCCTTATGAGAGTTTAAATGTGAAATGAATATTAAGCTATTAAAAGAAGAAAATGTGAGTTGTGTCTTGACTTGTTATGGTCTTTTCTGTAGATGAGATTTTTTTGGCCACTGTAACAAATGGAAGGTGGTGACATTTTGCATGTTAATGCCTTGTCTGACTTGGCATAAACTGATCAGATATATGGTCAACCAATGAATTATCTCTTCTTAAGAGTTAGGACAAAGTTGGACTTTTGGAAAGGGTAATTGAACTGCAGATTGAAAGTCCCCTCTAACTCTTTAGGAGTGGTATCAACCATCTCTCTTCATGAAACTTATGAATTCTTGTCTCAGTAGCAGGAAAATGTATATAGTTGAGTTTTGTTTGTGTTCCAAAATCTTGAGATATTTCCCTCACATACGAAGAAATTCAGTAGGTGGTCTGTTATTTGATATTACAATTACAGAGGTGTTCACTGTTTAGTTTAATAGCATATTTGTAGCATGCGATTCATGTGGAGGTGGTTGGCTGAAAACACTATCATCTTTGTTGCTTTGTTGTCAGATTTTCAATAGAATATAAGACATGTTAATACATGTACCATATAAGGTATATGGTCCAATTGTGAAATCTGACATTGCCACCGTCATAGTTCTAGATTGAGAAACATTATCAATGTATGTTAGATTATATGAAGCCAGATTTTAACAGAGTGTAGGTTCGAATTTTTCAAGTTTTTGTAATGTTAGGAAAGCCTTTCCAAAATTTTCCGAGGGATTCCTTTTTAATTGGACTCTAGGCTAAAAATATTTTTGTTCATGATTATTTTTATCCATTTCCAGATATGTAAGGAGTTGAATGATCCTGTTCTACCAAATGTGCGTCGGTGGCGAGGTCACAAAGGTCAATGGGAAAGTAAGACGTCTGGGGTCTGTGGAAGAATGTTCCAGGTATGTCTAGTAAATTATTTAAGTGGGAGATTAACCTTATTAAGGGCATAGAAGGGGTCTTTATGCCATGTTCTTAATTTACAACGATTATGAGTGTCACTTTTACTCTATTATGCACAATATATTGGCATGCGATAAATGTTTCCTTGTCCTCTCTTAAACTGTTCTGCTTTCAGTTGAAATAATTAAGCCGAAATAAATGAACAATTTTTTAAACTATACATTTCTGTAAAAATGTAGCTAATTTAGACATCCATTTTTTTGTGCCATACTCCAAGCTAATTTTATTCAGCACTTCAGTAAACTATCTCAGTTGTCATCATTTATTGATTTCATTTCAGGCGGTCGAATACAATGGATTTATCTACGATACCTCACAGGAGATTGATATTACCCAGGATTCCATGCTGGAACAAAATGGTCACAGGCGGTTTTCACGCTCACCTTATTTGACTTATATAAAGGTTTGTTAATTCGTAGTTTCATTTGAGATAAATGCGCCATCTTAAAAATGTATTACCTGACAAGTGTCAACATCTGATCAGGTTTTTTCATGGTAAATTACTTTAAAATTTTACTATAAAGAACTCTCTGATATTTATTACTGTGGGTCTTGTAATGTTTCAGGCTGGCTCATTGGACTTTATTGCCGTTAGTGTACATCTGAAAGCTACCGGACTACAAAACCAGGACCTGTCGATGCTCAAAGAGGAAATTGGCAGTATTGATGATGTCGTAGTTGCCTTACAGGAGCGGTTGCCTGGAGAGAAGGATTTGGTCATCCTTGGTGACTTCAATCTCCCTGCAGATGCAGCAGGTTAGCTTGTTTGTTGGTTTGGTACAAATATCAAAACTTTTTTATGGATGGTGTTTGCCAGTCAGTGTTTGGATTTCGGCAGTCGGCATCTGTAGCAAATGGCAGGTGGTAACATTTTGCATGTTATTGCCTTGTATGTAATTAAATTTCCCTTAAGTCTCTTCCTTTCCCAAATCCCCCATACTATTTTACCAATGTAAATGGAAATGGGGGTTCATACATTGTTTTAATATACCACCACTTTCCATCAAAGCCATGTACTGACAAAAGCCAAATCTTACGAGGATTGGAGGTGAAAAACATAAAATTTTTGATGTAATTTGAATTGATTACATGGCGCTCAAGTTTTTGTTTGCTTAAATTATAGAAGAGAGGTGACATTAAACATAATATTAAACTGAATGGCCCAATCTGGTAGTTCTTCATATATGCCTAGTGGAACAGGTCATTTGTACTTTTAAATTTTTTAAATATTTAAATGAAAATACATTCTAAAATGGTCACTTTATATTACTTTCAGACTTCAATGTGTTGAGAAATGAAGGATATTCAAGTGCAATTCAGGCCTCCGATTACACCAATATATCAAGGTCCAATCCTGATGGCTCCAGAAATTATGACAATATTTGGTCAAGCTATCAAATGAGATCAATGCATACAGGTAAGTGTTATGTATATATATTTTGGCTGTCTTCATTGTATTCACTTTGTTTCTTTCTATTACACTCTTGGGTGCTATTTTGTAATAAGTTTGCCGAGCAGGCAGGTTGATGAGCTTGATGAGCTAAATGAAAAACATGTTTTGCTCTCATTGTTTCAAGCTTTACCACTGTCTTTGACACATTATTTATGCTAGAAAACTAAATAAGTGAATTTAAGTGTGAGTGTGCTTTGTAGCATCTTATGGTGACGACCCAATTTTCTTGTCTAGAGTCATAATTAATGATCCAAATTTCCTAATGAGTAAAATGCTCCACAGGAAGCATCAGGCAATGTGATTTCAAAGCTATTTTTCTAGGTGTGACCACTTTCCAGCCACGATTGACCATTCATGAGCGAAAATACCTCAATTGAATCATGTACATTTTAATCCATTCCAGGTCACAGTGGTACTATACGTCATGGTCTCTCACATCCCTTAATTCCTGATAACTGGACTTGGGGAGGACTCGTCAGTGATCATGTCCCTGTGTGGACTGAGCTTTATACAAACGTTGACCTTGACTCAGGCATAGATGATGCTATAGAAGGATTAGAGGGCATAACACTTACCACTCCACGAGAGAGCCAATTATAAATGAAATCAGCAGTAGGGGTTGCAATGTACAACACAATCACGATGGTTAAATTGCTAGAAATATCTGGAAAATGAAAATCTTACTGCGTTGGAACTAGGAAGTGGAAGGGAGAATTTGACAACTCCCATCAAGTTACTTCACCATTTTCCTAGGTTTTTTGTATTATTTAATTTAGCCATCATGATATGTCTGTGCATGCACAAGATCAAAATGGCCAAAATGTGCTCTTGGTCAAATGATGAAACCTTAAAGCCTTTTGTATGAAACAGTGAAAGTTTGTGAATGACATTTGAAAGATGAGAAGGGTCACTTGAATGGCTCATATGTAGGTGAATTTGAATTGAATTGATGCAGTCATGAGGATCACATGGTAAATTGTATTATTTGTGGATCACTCTACTTACATCCTCCGATCACAGGGCTTCAAAATCCAGAATGTATTCTTTCTTTTTACACCCTGCAATAGGCAGTTAGCATTTCCCCGATTAAGAACTCGCAATCTGATTGGCTGTCGCAACACTGTGACAGAAATCATGTATAAGTCATTGCGCATAATTAGATCACGTGATTCAGTTAAATCGGGCGCGTCCAAATTGGTTATAGCAGGGGGAAGAAGGAGGTACGGATTCTGGACACCTGCTTAGGAGGATGTCTACTTAAGGATCCTCGGAAGAAGTGTATGGGTTAGTGGTATTATAAATATAAATGGTGCTCAATGTTATCTGATATTACAAAAAAAAAATGAAAATACTTCTTGCATCTCTATGACCCATGTAATGGAAATCTGATTGGGGGCACAAGAGGTTGATGAAAGACAATTACAAATGGGAGAGGAAACATCCTAGCAATGTCTGGACACACAAATCTCACTCTCCATTGCAGGACATTGAGAATCAGAAGTTCCTTCACTTTGACACTGCGATGGAGAATGAGATTGAGTCTAGGGACATAAGTAACACAGTTCACAAGATTCTAGGACTGCAATATATTGTATTGTGAATGTATACATGTCAAAGTGTTTATAGTTGATTTGATAAAATTGAGGGATTGTTCTTTCTCATCATTTGAAAGGCAGTCTCACTTAATTCCATAGTTATGGGCATTTTGACAACTGTTTGTAATGCCTCTGTATCTTCAAAGCGTTTTACCACCTTATTCTTCCTTTGCTACATGCGGGGCAGTGTCAAAATCTGCGAAAGTTATTTAACATAGAATTAGACCCCTTCCCATATCTATTAAATCCCTTGGGTAGTGAAATGGAAAATATGAATTTAATTAAATTTCTATGATTTTAGTTAGATTTTTATCGCTTTACCTGCTAATATGTTAGATTGAATTATCAAATGGCCATGTGACTTGATCTGACTAATCACAGTTTGTCATTATAATTTGAGATGTGATAAATTATTTTTGCATATTGAACATTTTGAGTGTTGTATGCTCATTTAAGAATTAAAGAAAATGCTCTCTTGCCAATGTTATTTTTGTCCCTGTTTGTAATATGGTGTTGAGTCCATTGAATTTTGGAGAGTTAGTAAAATAGATTATATGGGAGAGAAGTGTTTGTATTATATTACAAGTAAATGGTTCATGTATCAGGTTCGCAGTCAGAGAGAGTTGGGGGTTCAAGCCAACCAAAAATTCATTCAAAATCATGCAGTTTTCAACATTCTGAGCACTTTTCAAGTGATTTTTGCTCCTGGAATTTTTTGAAAAGTGAACCCCCCTTGGCAAAAGTTGGCTACAGCCCTGTGTATTAAACTTCTTCATATTTTAGAGCTTAAAATATGAAAATATAGAGGTAGCTTAATTGATATTAATTACAAAAACATGGTTTGAACAATAAGGAGATGCAATCTCGAAATAAAGTGTAATAATTGTGAACAATACATGTATAAAAAATGTAACAGTATTTCATTATTTTATTCGATCTTCATTCTTATATACAGAAACTGAAAATTGTTTGAATGTATACCAGACCAATATTTGTGGAGCTTCATTTCCAATTTATATTACATGTATTGCTATGAATAGTATTAATGTCCGATGAATCTGTATCTTTTCTCATTGACAGTATATTTATTGTTAAATTGACTATCGTGTATTGCAATGGAATTTGTGGATTTTAAATAGGTAAATAAAATGAATTACTACATACTGACAAATATATTTTACCAAAATAGTATCTTAAAAATAAAATTGTTAATGTTGTCAATTGGGAGTTATGGTGAGATATGTTTTTTTGACCCATGCCAATTTTATAAAGACAATCCCTGTTTATATTTCTTAACACCCAGTGGTATTTTCTGATACTACCATGAGATCTTTGTGATATTTTTATTGCACTTTGTAAAAGTAGTATTGTCATCATATTGTGCGCGAACAGGCCACTCATAAATCTTGTATCAAAATTCCTGAAAAACCACTCATCAGTTCAACTTGTTTTACAGATGCAAGAGCCATGAAAACTAGTGCCAACATCTGATTAGGTTTAGCATGCTGGATAAATTGCATGGCAGCCAGTTTGCTCTCAGATTCTTTCACTGTGTCTGGTTAATTCACATGCTTTGCTATTGCAATCACTCGTCCTTTATCCATTTCATGATATACTATTATGGAATGGTGATACCAATAAAATGGCCAGTTATAAAACTGGGTGAGAATTGGGGCTCCACTTATGGAGGATTGGCTCCCAGAATGCAACTTCGATATTGTGCCATATATGGTGTTATGACCTAGACCGTATTATCATGTGGTCATGTCGCTATTACAAAGGATCCGTTACCCCATGTACCTAAAGATGCCCCCAAAGGTTTTATTGAATATAACATGGAAATAGTTACTTTTATCAATTATGAACACATCCAAAACAAAATTAGGTAATAGGGATTAAAACTAAGGTCATTCAGTGCATTTAAGTTTGACTATGCAAATCATTCTAAATATCATGTTATGGGTACGTTAGTCTTCACTCATGACTATTTTAAGTATATTGACCATTCAATCAATCGATATATCAAAATATCATTAAGATAGGACACAAAGGGCAACATATTGAAAACACAAATCATAAAATAACCCCTAAAATGCAATATATCTATGAATCTTAATCTTGAATCTCAGCAAAAGTACCATTATCACCTCAGTTGGTATGCAGTAGGTTTAACCTAGGATATTCAATTTAGAGGACATATTAAACATCATTATCAAAGGTAGGACACAAAGGGCAACATATTGAAAACACAAAACCTAGGTATTCAACTCAAATACTAAAAATCTAGTTGTGACTTTTCAATATATGATATATTTATATCACGTTGCTATCATGTGATACTATAACGTTAACCAATTAGAAAGAGCAACATGTAACAATGCGGTTGGTGGCTCAATTTGCTCGTATTAATTTTTCACAGTAAATTACATGTATACATATATTTTACAACATACATGTGTATAGTCAAATACAAAAACAATAAGCTAAAGGTATAAAGTCAAATGATTGCTTTTTAAAATTGAAAAGGTGCATGTAGGATAGTTTTTTCATCAGTTTGAAACCCATTGTTTTACTATCAAACCAGTGGAAGTATTTTTAATCGTTCCATTGTATAACATATAATTATTATGAAGTAAAATATTTTAGTTTGACTTAGGATGAGAACATACCTACAAGCAGTGTCCCTTTAATGGCTAAATGGATATTGATTCCATCTTTCAGCAATATATCTATCATCTTTTGGGACAGGCATCAAAAATAGATTGACCCTTTTGTTTCTTTTGGTGTGAACTACCTTACAAGCAGTGTCCCTTTAAACAGCTATATGGATATTGATTTACTCCCTCAGCAATATATCATCTTCAGGGGTAGGCAATTGAATGGAGAATCCAAAATAGATTGACCCATTAGCCTATTTGGTTGAGAACTACCTTACAAGCAGTGTCTCTTTAAATGGGTAAATGGATATTGATTCAGTTCCTCAGCAATATATCACATTCAGGGGCAGGCATGACTGATGAATCAGAAGTACATTGACCCTTTGATTGTTTGTCAAAAATATTTTAGTGTTCATTAGGATGAGAACTATCTTACAAGCAATGTCCCTTTAAATGGCTGATATGGATGGATAATGATTACAGGTCATTCATTCTTAAAAACAAGAACACAATAGGGTGCCTTTCAAAACAATGGGATTACAAAGTATCTATGCAAGGTTAATCTGCTAAGTGAAGGTTATTATGCTCAGACAGAATGCAGTTTTATACTGACAAGTCAGTTTAAGTGTATCTACAATAAAAATCAAGATTTTATTCAAGGTTTTGTGAAAATATGTGAAAATTACTCATTTTAAGAGTCAGAAAGACATGTGTTTAGAATCACTGTAAAAAACAACTTTTTACCATATTCTAATATTATTTTTGTGATTTGTTGAAAATATACTTCTTAAAGATTCATCTTATATAATAATCCTGGAATTCCATTTTACCCTTTTCAAAAAATTTCTAAGTCCTTATAGGTACACTAATGGGTACAGATCCTTTGAAGATCAAAACGTCTGCCATTTTTTCACTTCAAAATTTGAGTTTTGGTCTTATTTCGAAACAAAAAATTAAGAACACCCTAGAAGTGATGAAGGTATCAGTTCAAATTTTGGATCGCTGATGATTTGTAGTCAGTTATAATATCTGAAATAATGACATTTTCCATGTTGTCATCAATCAAGGTCGAGTTTGAACCCTGGGAGTCAATCCTCCTTGGGGGCAACTGATGACTTTTATGCGGACACATTTCAAGTGAAAGCAGTTGAATTGTAAAAGATGAACTACCCATCTGTTGACGGAGAGATGGATGAAAAATAGGGGATTACAATAGTTCATGCCATGCGAGTGCTAAAAACCTGTGCAGAAATTTACAGAAAATTATTTGGTTTTTCTATAAAAATGTGTATTTCTGATACAAATAAACATGTTATTATCTACAATGACTTTCTTTGAATACCATTACTACCATAAAACTGGGAATGAATCCACTCAAAAGTACATAGAATGTATAAAATCCAGAATGTGTACATTCTTCAATTTGTTTTCCTCGAATGGCAGAGATCTTGAAGACGAGTTTACTCACTGAACAACACAACATTACTTTGAGAGACAATCCATTATCATGTCACAACATACTTGTAATATCAGAACACAATCGAGTGGCTTTAATATTTCCATGATTTTCTTGAGGTTCCCGATAAAACTCTATTCCTACATTAAAATCTTCCAATGATTTATGCAGTCCAGCAAATATCAACATATCAAATTCCATTCAACAATCACATGTTTGATGCCTCAACTAGATGCTGCATGTATTCGATGCACCAAAGTTGGAAGGTGCACTAGAGACAAAAGCTGATAACATAATAACAAGTAGATGAGCTGCATAATCCAAAGTAATCAAAATTTCTTGTGTCACGAGTATGTCTTCGAGAAATTGTGGAGTTTTTATCAGTAGTTGATGCTGATTGGACTGTTAAGTGTTGATGATGCTGCAATGATTGATGATGCGTGGATGATGTGATGTTCCTGTTGCCTAGTAACCTTGTGGGGGACCTGAAGGTAAATAATCATCAAACATATAATCCATGCGGTTTTAAATACCAAACATTTCCTTTGACAAAATATAAGGAAATATTTTTACAAACATGAACACAAAATTTCACAACTAAAATAACAATAAAAAATTATTGTTTGATATTTTTAACTGAATTCAACTTCGAAGGGTTTAGTGAATGTGTCTCTTGCAGGACTGCTTGAATATGTAATAAGTGAAGTATATTATATGTCCCCTTGTGTACTGCCAAATCTTACAAAAATATAAAAGTTGTTTTTCTGTTTTTTTCTCTCTCAAATGATACAATGTAAGTTGAAAATTTGAAAAGTATATTATCAACTCACCTCTCATCTGTGGTGGACCCCCTCGTCCCATTGGTGGACCTCCTCTCATTGGTGGGGGACCGCCTCTCATCATACCACCTGAAACGAGAGGAAAATCAATGATTATAAAAATTGATCAAACATAATGGAATAAATCATTTGATTGAATAGGTTTCACTAAGGATATCAGGCCTCGCGCTTAACTTTTTTTATCAGGTAGTTGTTTCACTAATTAGTGTATTTTCCAGGTAGCTATTTGAGAGAACCAGATAGTGAAGATTTCCATCTTTATTCTTATGACTTACCAGCGCAATAATAAGATATTACACTGTAGTGATCTCCCAAGCAGCAATTGCGCTGCACCCACTTGAGATTTTGATAATAGGCATTCACCCACCTGAGAATCAATTTGCATCCACTTGAAAATGAGAAAAAATGAAAAATAGGCATATTTTTCCAAATTAAATTGTGAAATAAGAATTTTGCACTAACTTGAGATAAAATCCTGGGGAGAACACTGCACTCTATTAGATATATGGAAGAAGTAAAAAATCCCTGGGAATTTGATGTATGGCAAAGTTTTCTTGCCATATATGACTAATTTGCAACATCAGAACGGAGTATAATAATGGAATGGATTGTTATTGGAGAGTTTACGGTAAAGATCGCTAAATGAACCAAGAATCAATAAACAAATAAAGTCAGTAAACAATATTGCAAAATTCCCTAGTGGACCCCCACGAATTGAATGATAGGTTCTCCCCGATTATCTTTATTATTTCTGCTAGAGATCGTTCGATATCGATCTAATATTATACTCAAAGATATTTGTTTAATGATTGATCTTCATTTTCCATGTAAAAGACGTAAGAATAACAAGAAATGTTAGAAAGAAAGACGAAATGTCAAACTAAAGTTCATGACCTTGACCGTCATGTTGACATGCGCAAAAAAGCTGCGCGAAAGACTACTTGGTTGAATGCAGAAACGACTCTAAATTTGAACATTTCTTTCATTCATTTCAGCCTATTTTGAGATAATATTATTAGTTTAGAATTGTGTGAAAAGGACCCACTGATAGATATTTATCGGGAGGATGCATCGAATTACAACATGTGTCATTTTTATCACGTTTTAGTGTGAGTACTCTATTATCACTCACTTCATTTCTCAGAAGTTCGATCTTTTTTCTTACCGAATCTTCGGGTCTGGCTGTCTGGAACTAGCGAAGTTAGCTAATTGGAGGAAATGACAAGTAGTGTTCTGGGAAAACAGGTAGCGTATCGCTACCTTCGCAACGCTAATTTCGAGGCCTGGATATTCCACTATTTAACAATTTGGATGCCACCATCCTGATTCAAGGTCTTCTTATCTAGTACTCTCAGTTTCATCTGTTTTCTTCAGTCGACGACATTTAAACAAGACCAATTTGTTCAGCTGTATTTTGCGATAGTGAGCATATGAAAAATATTCAAACCACAAGATTTTAATGTTGAGCTTTCAAACTGTTTATATAATCATATTAGCATTTACCTCCTGGCATCATAGAGCTCTGTGCAGGTCCTCCTACGCCTCTGACTGGACCTGATAGGCCAGCTGCTGCACCGCCCCCACTGCCGCCAGCAGGTACACCTCGACCAGCAGCTCTGCCCAACCCTGGGCCACCTGCACCCCCTGGGAGAGGGACACGTGAAGTAGCCTCCTGGAATTGTAAATAGAAAACAGTAATGTCGAGGATGTAAAAGTGACATACATACATAAGTTTATGCAACTGAAAAGTTACAATCATTAAAATGACAATATGTCTTGTCTAGTGCTCCTAAAGTATATATTTACATGACGAAGACCTAAATGTGATGGAGGACACACATTGCTCTGAATTCTTGGGACATAAAACTTGAAAAGGGCTTGTTGAGGTCTACTGATGAGCGTTTGAACTATTTATTATAACCTTCCTAAAAGTAATGTAGTAGCTTCCTGTTAACTTACATCTGCAGGTGGTGGTCCCTCTACAGTCATAGACACGAGTGCTTCCCCTCTCAGGAGGACCAATCCCAACACTCTCTTCTCTTCACGATCTCCAGCCTTGCTGCCTTTGGGTTTGATCTTGCGGAACTCATCACAGTCACCCAGGATAAGGTTCATATGCTTATCAAAGGCTTTGAATGTTCCAATGAAGATGCGCCCATCTTGTAGGGTGCACCTCATACGGTAGTTGATGTGTTGCATCATCTTGTTACCACGGCCAGCCATCTGGAATGCAATGGTGATAATATGTCATTATTTAGGCTATGGGTGCAGACCAGGTAGGCTAATGGAGTTCAGAAAAATGGAGATGATGGAAATTGGAATATTATAATTATAATTTCTTCTTTTATGAGAGAGACAATCAAGACATACAATATATATAAAATAATGGAATACAAAATCTGCGCAACAAGTGTAAATTGAAGCACATGAGAGAGCACAAAGAGAATTTACAGTACACGAGACGAACTGCCGAGGAAACAGCGGCTTATGCAACACAACAATGAATGGATCAAACATACACTGAAGTGTCGATCAAGTTCATATCATTTACTTTAGACATTATTTACAGGTCAGTGAATTATACTAATAAGTGAGTGAACATGCATCAACTAAGAGCCACTAAGTAAGAAATCAAGCTTTTTCAGGGAGAATTTTTCACATGCTATCTATTGCAAGACTAACGCCTGGTGTAACCGTCACCATGTTATTCTATGTTTTTTAAGTAGCGCAAGGATCCTGCCATGACCGTGGCAGTGTTATTTTGTAAGCCTGGTATAACCGTGACAACGCTGTATTATATTGCAAGGCCTGTCATGACCATGAGTGTTATCGTGGAAGCCTGGCGCAGCCGTAGCCTTTACGTTTAATTTAAGAATTTTTTATTGTTGTTTGTTAAGCGATTTGTTTACTATCCACTTTTAAATATTCGTATATTTGTATATTTTACCAGAGACATTATATGTCGCTGTCTTTATGAATGTTGACCCAAGCTGCCCATGACCGTGATAATGTTAAAGCCCCGTACGACAATGGTTGCAAGGCCTGTCATGACCGTGGTAATGTTAAAGCCTAATATGACCGTGACAATGCTTATAAGGCCTGTCATGACCGTGGTAATGTTAAAGCCTGATATGACCGTTACAATGCTTGCAAGGCCTGTCATAACCGTGACAATGCTATATTATATTGCAAGGCCTGTCATGACCGTGGTAATGTTAAAGCCTCGTATGACCGTGACAATAGTTCCAAGGCCTCTCATGACCGTGGTTGTATTTAAAGTAGCATGAGAACACTGTAATGACAATTTTTCTTCGTGTTTAACTACCTTAAATATGTAAATAAAGACTACTAAAAATGTGTATTAATTTCACAACGAAAACCTAATTTTTACTCATAAATAATTTGCGAACAAACTATATCTCTACTCTCATTCAAGGAGCTTCGATTCGAAAGCATATACTTTCTATAATGATCAATTAATACGATTTATCCATAAAAAATACCAACAGCAATGGGCGAAACATGAAGGTCATTAATGTCATATAAAGGTTGCGGTCACGCCAGGCTTACACGGTTACACTACCACAGTCATGGCAGGCATTTTAATATAATACAGCATTGTCGCGGTTATACCAGGCTTTCACGATAACATTACCACGGTCATGGCAGGATCCTTGCGCTACTTAAAAAACACCGAATAACATGGTGACGGTTACGCCAGGCGTTAGTCTTGCAACAGATAGGGTCTCGAATTTTTCGAAAAAAATTGAAAAAAATTTGAAAAAGATGCAAACCTGGATTCAAAGTCGGTTGTGGGGATCTAGAGTTGCATATGGAATTTCACACTAGGGTTAGTATGGGTCTTTGCAATTAAAATCATTATTGACATTTACATACAGAAACATTCTTCAAATTTGTAAAATTATCGTTGAAAAAAAGATAAACAAAGAATCGTGTTTTTAATTTTATGAAGGGTTAAAATAGCATTAAAACTCTCCTTAACTTCATGAAGCCACATACAAAATATCTATCTTAGTAGATTCAGTGTAGATTGAAAAATATTTAGCTTATAACATACCTTGATTTATGGATGGATGACAGCCGATTTTGAGTAAAAACTGAGAGGGTTTCACCACTCTCGCCTAGCAGAAATTTCCAAAATGGCGGATTAAGCGGTTAGAAATCGTTTTTACAGCGCCCTCTTTCAAAGAAAAAACCGACAAGTCGAAGTGCTGTTTTTGCTTTCTCAGTAAGTATTCTGTTAGTTTGCACCAGTTTGCATGTACCATATCGAACAATTGACATCTATTCTATCCTATTTTAGTGTATTAATCATCCTATAGCCTTACGTTATGTTTTTCCAAGAAGCAAGAAGAGTTAGAAATGAAAAAGTGCTTGCTTGACAAATTTTTAGTTGAACATCATGTTGGGCCTAAGTTTAGTCTCTAACACAAACATGTGACTCCCTTCAGTAGTACAGTGGTCATAAAAACACACAATGATTTTATAACATCTGTCGAAATACATCAGGACGGTCTGAAGCTGAGGCCCGGTCCGAAGGATTATCCCCTGGGATTTCCCCGGGGATTTCCCCTTTGGGGTTGTGCTACTGACATACCGTAGGTTAACCAAACCCGTCTGGCCCAGTTATCTACTCCTGACGTCTACGATATCAGAGTAGATAACTGGGCCAGACGGGTTTGGTTAACCGTAGGTGTGTAACGACCCTTGATAGCAAGTTGCTACTAGACTACACCCCAGCTGTAGTGGCTTAAGCCTTTATAGCTCAGTCAGTAGAGCATCAGTCTTTGGATCCGATGGTCCTAGGTTCGATTCCCACATGGGGCATTTTAGCACACTTTCCTTCAATTGCTTTATCTAGCTTGTTACATACTCATTAGTTAGTCATTCCCCTTGGGTGCCCTTTGGTCATTACAGGAACATGAATGACACCCACACATGGCGTTGAAAAATTTTGTCCTTACGTAATGCCCTCTTGCATCTTCCTTGGATGGGCCAATATTATTTTTGAATAGTAATTGTGGTGTGTGGGACTAACTATGGGGCCTGCCCCCCCCCCCCCTGGGTCACAGTGGGGCAATAAAAATGAGCAAATGGGCTTTCATCTTCAAAATTTGGGCCCAATTTTTTGATTTCGGGCTCCAAATTATTTTCGTACAGGTGCGGAATTTTTTTTTCTGATTTGAAATGAGGCCCCCCCTTGTTACCTTCTGGATCTGCCAGTGATATACAGATCTGTACTTTTCAAAGCATGGGCACTGGACAGTCTAAAACCAGTTTATCTGAAAATGTTCAAATGCATCATTCAGCTTACTTACTTTGAGGTACTCTAAATGGATCCAAAATTTGTAGGCGATTCTGCGATTTTTTTTCAAAAAAGTTAGTTTTGAACCTTAAATTGTGTTCATGCAAAATTTGATGGTTTGGCATTGCATTAAAAGATGGCAGCTCTGTCAAACTTAACTCATCTTCATATGTTCTGTAACTTTTTGAGAATCGACCCCAAATGTTGAAATTCAGAGTAAAAACACAGTTGAAATTACATTATAGTCTATAGCCCTCAATGGCACTCTTTGTTTAATGTCATATGATGCAAGTTCACATTATCCAAGATCACATCGTTCAATATCACATGATGCAAAGTCACATTGATATTATGCAATGTCACATCGTTCACTTTCATATGATGCAAGTTCATATTATGCAAGGTCAGTATGTCATATTATGCAAAGTCACATGGTTCAGTGTCATATGATGCAAGTTCATATGATACAAGTTCACATTATGCAAGGTCACATTGTCACTTCCATTTGATGCAAGTTCATATTATTCAAGGTCAGTATGTCACATTATGCAAAGTCACATGGTTCAATATCACATGATGCAAGTTCATATAATGCAAGGTCACATTGTCACTTCCATTTGATGCAAGTTCATATTATTCAAGGTCAGTATGTCACATTATGCAAAGTCACATGGTTCAATATCACATGATGCAAGTTCATATAATGCAAGGTCACATTGTCACTTCCATTTGATGCAAGTTCATATTATTCAAGGTCAGTATGTCACATTATGCAAAGTCACATGGTTCAATATCACATGATGCAAGTTCATATAATGCAAGGTCACATTGTCACTTCCATTTGATGCAAGTTCATATTATTCAAGGTCAGTATGTCACATTATGCAAGGTCACATAGTTCAATGTCATATGACAACAAGGTCACATTATGCAAGTCACATTGTTCAGTGTCATATGATGCAAGGAGATCATGTTTAATGTCCAATGTCACATGATGCAAATTCATATTATGCAAGGTCACATTATGCAATGTCATAAAGTGCAAAGTCAAACTATTCAATGTCAGATTGTACACGGTTGCATTATGTAATTAAGGTCACATTCACACTCCCATTAAAGTTCATAATAAAAATTTTTCAGCAGTACACAGGGTAAATTCATTTGTAGTATTCACAGGGCATTGGTATGGTTAGTCATTGGGGATTCAGAGTAAAGTTACGAAAGGCATTCGCTTATACAAAAAAAACTGTACAGTAAAACCTCTCTAAAATATGTTCTACTTGGGAGGTGTTCCACATATAGAGGCTCATTTAAAGTCCCCATCTAAAGTTTAAACCACTTTGGCTTATATTGTAGTCTTACCCAATGTTATCAAAGTGTGATATGTGAAACTTTTTTTTTAATTTCAAAAAGTGGTTTTTGATAGACTTTTTGTTCCAAAATGTGTGAATTTATTTAAAACTAACTTTTAGAGGTCACACATATCTTTTAATTAGCCACAACTCATACCAATGCATAGCATTCATCCTCGCATGTTTTTTGCCGAAAAAATTAAGAAAATCGAGTCATAAATAAGCGAGAAATGAACTTATCAGTGCATGAAAATGGTTCCGAGAAAAATGCATTTAAAAATTCTAGTTCTCATAGAAACCAATGGTACAATGATATCTAAAACATAATATATTCTTCCTTTTAACCTGGTTAGACAATCAACATTGGTATATTATTGAAGTCTAGCATATTTAGAAAAGATTGACATCGAAAAAAAAATTTCAATTTTTTTCAAAAAGTTTTTGCTACCTTAGTGACATCACTAATGGTGCAAAATATTTTTGATATGCTAAAACATTGAAGTGGCCCATTAAATATGGCATTTTATTATTGAAATAGTGTGTCCTTTGATCAATCTTTGCATTGGTGTTAAAAAGATAATCTTTTTCGAAATGCATTAAGAAATATTTGATGATTAAAAAATTTCAACTTTTTTTGAAAAATGGCGGGAAATTTGAATATTTGAGAAATGAAATGCTCACAACTTTTTTTTCAAAAATTTTTCTCTTTCAAAAATCTCTAGAATAACTTTTTAAGTCATGAAAAATAGTAAATGAATGATAAAAAAATATTTTCAAACTTTAGACGGGGACTTTAACAATAAGTCATTTGGTCTTGAGAATCTGAAGTGTTCCACTAACAGAGGTGTTCCACTTCTAGTAGTGTTCCACCTTACAGGTTTCACTGTACATGTATGTCCTTATTTCTAACTCTCTTGCAGTGAAAATAATTACTATTAAATATAATTAGAAGTGTTAATTTGATGATAGGCGAGCTTGCTTTTCCTGCAAGCACTCAAGCAGAGATAAGACCACATTTTCCTGTTTCCTTGGTATCGAAACAACTTGATGCCAAGTTCTTGCTTCAAATCAAGATTGTTTGCAGTTAATTGTGTCAGAAGCTCTACAATAAGAAAATGTATTGAGCTAATGACACTACTAATTGATGTAGCCTGAATCTGCTTGGAATAATGTTTTGATAATCTGCTAATAGAGGCAAAGTGATCTTTAATTAGCGAGGTAAATTTGAATAGGTGAGGCAAAAATTTAGTTAAGAATAATATTAAAGTAGCATTATATTTTTTCACAAACTTTTCAATTGAAAAAATGTTTGCATTAATATTTTTCTATGAAATTTTGGTTATGCTCATGTGTTTCATTAACATTTTTTATTTATTTTAAATTAGGTCTTGATTATTCTATTCATGGACTTCTAACATAAAAATGTGCAAATTAAATGGAGTTTATTGTGGTAAGCCACGCTCTCTCCATCTCTGTCCTTCTGGAGATGCATCTGCGACGTAACAGAGAGAGATGCTAATTGAGGGCAGAATGAATGGAGTTTGCAATATTTGCCTTTTGACTTTTGCGTAATATACTAACTCGGATACCATATGCTCACATGATTATATTAAAGAATGAAATCATCAAATTATCTAGAAATCCAAGAATGCAGATCTGACCAAAGATTTAGCAAGGAATGAATGAAGCCAAATCACAAGATGAATTATCATGATTCATGTGATACCAAAAAAGCTTGGTGAGATTTGTAATGCTTCTAGACTATTCCTGTGAATGCTTAATTTTTCATTACACAAATTCAATAATTTCAGATTCGGGTTGCAAACTTACAGAGGAACAAAGACAATCCTTTCCATAGTGTCCTGTATAGATGTTATAATGCCATCTATGGCAACCATGGAATCACTATGGCAACCATAATGTTTCTATGACAACAAATACTCTGATGATGTAGAAGACTTTCTTTGGAATCCAGAATTGTAAGTATAATTACTAATACTGAGAGATATAGAAGCCTCTCTCCTTACATCCAATCAAATTTTGATCTAATCTTGTAATCTAATGTTTTGGGATCAAAACTGCATGGCATGAATTTGTGGTCAAAATTGGTGATTTAAAAATTAAAATTGGGAAAATCTTGAGCACCTCTCTAGAAAGAAGAGCGCCCTTTAGATGTAAATTGGCTGAACAGAGATGTTGGTCATTCAAGTCAACATACACTGTATTTGGCAGATGAGTCCAGAACAGGTTAGGCTTTAATATGGTGTATAATGTACATGTATTATGGGGAAATCTAGTCAAGTGGGACATTATATTCTGACCTCTTAAACCCTGTCCTGAACAGAAAGGAACTAGTCTTTAGTGAAAGCATGGGCTTCTGTTGAAAGCCCATGGTGAAAAAGAACATGTAAAGTGCCACAATAGTAGGGAGGATCATTATCAGAAAGCCTTTGTATTTTTATATCACCACAAGAAGTGGTACATGTTATGAGTTTTCAACTTTTTTGT